GATTATTTTTTTATTCTAAATTTTTTTATTTATTTTAGTGACAAATAATATACTATAAAAATATTTTACCTACTCAATTATTTATAAAAAATCGGATCGGATTGACCTATATCCATATTTGATCCATTTAGTTAACAGATTATCGAATTCGGATCAAAATCCAATCCATTGACAGCCCTATGGAAAACTACCAATATATATGTGAAATTTATACGTCGCTTTCAGTTGAATTTAAGATAAACGTGAAATAGTTTGATGATTTTGATATCTAACTTTGAGTCACGTTTAATATCCCAGTGGATGATTTGGGTCTTGTAGATTCACTGATTTGATTGAGACTCAAAACTTTATTTTTGAAAGTTCATAGCTTATAACTACACCACTTGAAAGGTTGGGAGCCTATCCCTAATTTCTCCTTTATTTTTGGGAAATGCCATTTGTACACTCTTTCTGACATGATAGTGACATTGTGTATATTTACAAGTGTTGATTGAATGAAAAAACCGTCGAAAAAATTAAATTTTCTATTGATGTGTTGTCACGTAGCACAATATAAAACGTGACATAGAAGATAATATACATGTAACATGATCATTTATTTTTATACTGAAGTCGAGCATATTCTTTTATATATATATATATATAACTCAGGTCGATTTGAGTTGGCTTTTAGAAGTTAGATGGCTAGGTTTTTTTTTGCATATATATTAGACAGTTAGATCAGGTCGATCAACGGGTTGAGCAATCGACCCGAAACCGATGCAATGATATTTATTTATTTAATGTCTTAAACCTAATCCCAAACCCTCTACCAATTTCCTCCCAAAAGAAAAATAAGAAAAGAACTAAAGAAGAAAAGAAACCCCTAGTCGTCGCCTCTCACTATTACCATCCAATGTTTGCGTTTCCTTGTTGCCGTCATCTACGGCCTAATCCATAGTCGTTAGTCACCTAAAAGAAAAATAAATGCGTTAACTAACGAGGAAACCCTAATCATAACCCCTCACCACAGCCTTCCGCATCTTCTCGCCACCAACCCACCACTGTCTGCTCCATTTCCGTTGGTTACTATCCTAAAAAATGGATCTATGTAACTTTTATAAATTTTAATTTAAACCTTCCCAAACAAGCGCTAAAATTGAGTCCCTTCTTTCTTTTTGTCTGTTCCCAATTTAGTTCCTGATGAGGCTAATGTGGAGGAACAGACGATTGCATATTTGGACCGCTTGGATTGTCGGCGCTCAAAGAAAGTGACATAACTTTCGCATACGGTGTCCGTTTTCGGCCCATAACCCCATTTCGGAAAGCTCGCTACGATTCGGATTGAACTCATGACTTTGCCATGAGGTATGATGGATTTTGGGCGTTAGACGTCGTCTTCCCAGTCAAAATAGTATTTAAAGTTTCGTAGTTCGTTAATTTTAATGTTTGTTTGTTTTGCTTTGTAGCCCAACCCATACACGGACTGTTGGCCCAGAAGGTTAACTATTTTCTTTCTTATTTTAAGCTCTCCACACATTTGTAGGTATTTGGTTGTAC